GCAACAGTTACTGCGGGGGCGTCAGAGAGAGTGGAACGGAGACAGCGTAGTGGGTTGGGTTGAGGTGGGTTAGGGTTGAATGAGGTGGAGAAAAGGAGTTAACTCTTGAAAAAAAAGTTTTTTCCACGCTATGACGTGCTTGGGATTTATTTTTCAGTGAAAAAAACTACGATAAACTTTCTCGCGAGGATGAGTACGAGTACGAGGACAACGACGACGACGACGACGACGAGACTTTGAGAAGCGCCGTTATAGAAAAATATTTCGTCCTTTATAATTCCCTTGAGAGGTCATTCGTTCTACGTTTCGGATTACGGGCGAAAGACTGAAAGGTGTGTTCGTATAATTTCTCGAAATAAATTCGTCGCACGATTGCATGACAAGCACGGCGAAGTGGATGGTGACCGTCGAGAGAGGGCGGAGGGAGAAGTGTTAGAGGAACTAACTCGTCAGGCGAGAAAGATAAAATGGTCGAAAGTAAAAAAAAAAAAAAAAAGAAAGAAGTAGAAGTAGAAGTAGAGAAAAAATGAATGAGATCCCTCGTTTGCCCTCGCGTTTGGACACGCGACGACAACGACGACAACGACGACGACATTAATAGAATCCTTCCGGCTTGCCAGTAAAGTCTTGCCGTTCAATCTACTTTGCGAAAGAAAGATGAAGAGTAAAGAGAATCCTTTCAGCTAACGCGCCCTTCCTTTGAACTGCTTCTCCGATTGGCTCGTCGATGCTTCACCCGGCTACGAGACTTTTCTATTGTCCTCATCGATGCCCTGACTAGGGCCAGCTTAATCACTGCACTCCATTATAGCACCCAACGAACGTATCTTTCTTTTTGTCCTTCCATAGCTATTTTTCCGCATCTCTTTTTCCGAACCAACTCCGTTCTTCTTCTAGATACCATTTTATTTCACAACTTCGTTTCTTCTATCACTCTTTCTCTTTCTTCCCTTTCCTTTTTTTCTACTTTTTTTCTTCTTCTTTCATCCAAAACTTTCCCTTCCCCACGTCCTTCCTTGTCTATTCGACCGTTCGTCCTCGTTCTCTTTTACCCCTCCTCCTCCCGTCCTTTACGATCGAAGCTTCAAAGGGCTATTATCGCTAGGAATAGTCGACGACGTTTTTATAATGATTCGTGTCGGGCTTCGAAATATACCCACCGTTAAAGAGAGAAACGTTCCTTAGGATGACGACATTTAACTCGTTATACTTGGAAAAAGTAATGGAAAATTCGTTGGACCGAGAAAATGGATAAAACGATCGTACGGTTGAAAGAGAAAAGTTTAAGGGAGTGTTCTCTTCCTACGCATTTGTGAGAATTTATCTTGAGTTGATTATTGATGTTTAAAAAGAATGTTATTTCTTATGCATATATCATATCTATAAAATAGATAATTTTAAAGAATAATTTAATCATCAACTCATGTAGAAAGAGAAAAATTTATAAAAAGTTCGAATATCGTGTATTTTTCGATTGTCCTTCATTATCGGATAAAAAAAAGGAATGTGAAAAATGAATGAAAAAAAAAAATGTCTTTTCTAATGTCCCGTTAAACAAAACATGGTATCTATTTGAATAGCGATTGGATATAATAATGAGAAGGATCGAGGATGATCAATCGTATTGCTTTTATCATCAAAGTAATGGAAATATTTGGTTGGCTGTTGTTCACCCGATCTCTTTTTCTCTCTTTCTCATTCTCTTTTCCTCTCTATTGCTTGTTTGTATATTGATCGAAGTGAAAATTATAGCTAGCTTCGTAACATTATAGGTCCTAAATTAATTTTGGAGAATTGTTAGTTACCGAGGGTATTCGCGAAATTGCCATTGGTATAGTAATAATTTGATAACGAATCAATTTTCTCTACCGTAGGTAAAATTCATTTTCGTATTTGTATGTACTAACTCTCGTAGGTATCATACTTTCAATCGGAATCAACTGCAATTTGTCTTTTTTATATCGCGCGTTATGTATACATTGCTGGAATACAAATACAGAGGGAAGCTTGCTTTCTCTCCCTTATTGGTCCACGCTTTTTAACGTTAAAGTAATTATATTCGCGTGACAAAGGGTCAATGTTGCGTATATACTCATTATTCTAAACTGGTGTAAATTTGATAGTCTATAGACGGGGCTGATATCGTTTTCCAATAAAACCGATGCGTTATGAAGAACATATCATTTTTCAAATAATACATATCTTTTTGTACGAATAACGATGGTTTCAAAATTAACGTTTCAAAAATACTATTATTGGTTAAAAAATTTTTTAAATTTGCTTATTTATCTGCTTTTTTTTTTCTTCAACTGAAAAGCATCATCGTTCGTTGTGATTATTCTAGAGTGATGATCTCTCGTATATCGGATATAAGAAAAAGGTTAAAAGAAGGAGTCAAAAACAGGAAGACGAAGGAGGAAATTCGTTTCGAGTAGATACGATGTGTTTGATTCGTGGACCGTTTCCTTTCACGTTGATCGCATTGGTTTACTCGCATCAATTTTACGAACTGGTTTTACGGTTTAAGCATAAATCGAGCTCGAAGAAGTTTGAGGTAAAATCCTTCGTGGTAGAGAACTAGGCGTCCGATGACGAAGTGAGAGACAGAGAGGGAAGGAAAAGCAAGAGATTCACATCCGGAGGGGGTGGCTCGAATGCAATATAGATGATAAGAGCAAGAGATAGAGATATATAGATAGATAGAGAAAAAATGAGAGAGAAAGAGAGAGAGAGAGAGAGAGAGAGAATGAGGGATAAAAAGAGGAAGAGGAAGAAAAGCAACGGGATTATGGCAGCCGGGTGCTCCTACAGAATGAAGTCGGATCATATTTTTAAGATGCAATTTCGACGGAAATCTCTTACGCAGTAGCAGCTGCTACCCGCTCACCGTTAGCCCGTTTTCTGCATCCTTCGCAAGCTACGACGCATATCCAACGAAAGGTCGCGTAGCGTATGGAAAGGAGGAAAAGAGAAAAGAGAAGAATAGAAGGAAGGAAGGAAGGAAGGAAGGAAGAAAGTAAGGTAGTACACGACTTCCAGCGCTACGAAGAAGTAGAGGAACGATAATGCACTCCGAGTTAAAACGAGACCTTCCAAACGGACCTCGTAACCATGAGAATCGAGACGATTATGCTGCTCTCGATTTATCGTTATCATTTTAAAGGGTTTAAGTTAAGTAACTGTCTCACTCTTTCTTTCTTTCTTTCTCTTTCATTCTCGGGGAGAAAAACGGTTAAGAGTTTTTCTTTCGTTATTCGCGTAATTCGACTGGCGCATCGAACTTCTCGACGGTACGTTTACTTTATGCTAATGTCTGTTATTTGTAGTTACTTGAATCATCTCATTTTCGTATATAAAGATATATCTTTATTTATATATTCCTTCACTTCTCTCACGAAGATCTCGTAAGGGTTCTAAGGATACGAAATTTGCAGTTTCGCGATTTACGTTTATTCTTGTAAATACATACACACACTCGTGCACTAGCATAGATGTAATATCTGAAGTACTAGAGAAAGTTATCAAACAGTACAGTCATGAAATTTTATGGTACATACATTTAAATATCAAGAATCTCAGGAAATCGAATCTCAACATAAAACTTATGTCTTACGATGCAATACTATGATCGAAATTAACGTTTAGCGTTACGTACCTTGTTTCAGTATGCTATAGCAGAAGAAATAAAAATTTAAAAAAGATCCGAGAAAGAAAGAAAGAGGAAAAGAACATTTATTTTATTGTAATTCTCTATTTTATTATCAATAATTCTCTTATATTGTTCTTGGTAACTAAGAATTGCATTTATTTTTTACGTTTTATGAGAAATTTCCTCTGATTATTAACAGCGATGTTATAAGAATGCGATCTTATTAAATACGTTTGCTGCTAATTATTAGTGAGAATATTCTACGATTTGTATAATAATTATAAATAAAGATAAAACTTTAAAATAAGATTCTTCTTACAAATCCCAGAAGAGTCTCATTCTCCTTTTTTTTTCCTAAAGTGACAAAGGAATTGCATTGAAGTACTTAAGAGATTAAGTCATTTAAAATTAGCTACGATTATCAGAAGAGTTAATCAATTATAATAAAGAAGAATTAAGGTGGTATAAATTTAATATTTTAAATAATTTGATGTAGATCATTAAATGCATCGTTATTAGATATTCAAATACTTTAATATTTATTATATTTAATTTTTTTTTTTTTATAGAATCCAGCTCATCAATTGACTTTTTATAAGATTCACGTGCTAATCTATGTTATTAATAAATATATTTTGGAATAGAAAAGTCTCATTTCTTGTGTATATTCATAAAAAAAATATTTTTATAATATATTTACAATTTATTATTGCACAAGAATTTATACTTGTTTCACGTAAAAATAAACAACTAGGAATTAAGTTTCGAAAGGTTCGTAGATTTGGATGAGAAATAGATTGAGGAAAGTGTATACTTATCTTTATCGATTGGACGTTAAAATCTGGCTCGCGTCGCGACGCAAAGAATGCGATATTTTATTTTGTGAGACGTGTACATGGATCAATGAAACCCTATAATAAATGTTTTTTTGAAGATAAATTAGACCGATTCGTTGTCAGAAGATTATCCGATTTGGATCGTTCGTATTTTATGTTTCTTGTAAAACTTGACGAGATTAATGGAAACGATTGTTTTTTAAAGAAGGGAAACTGAAATTTATCTATGTTTCCAATATTCCGGACATGTTGCTTCATATTTGTTATGTCGTATTCATCTTTTTCTCATATTTCCGTAACAGCAATGCAATACGATTGTAATATATGTGAGTAACATTTAATAAAAATAGTATTGATATCTATATAATCATTCAAAATTGTTTTATCGAATAAAAGGAGATGAATTTAATTGTAAAATTGTAAATATTCCAAATAAAAAACGTTGCAAATTCTGTAATTATAAATGAATATAATAATGAGAAAGTGAAATAATTTGTCATAAATGTCTCTCTTACGTCGTGTATCCATGTTAACTTTGACCAAGGTGGATTGGCTCTAATATGACACTCGAAGTAGACGTCGTCACCTTCCTTGATGTCCTCCGGACTAAGGGTTGATCCGAGATTTAATGAGACAATTGGTGGATCTGTGAAAATAATAAAAATATATTTAATCATTTTTCATCAAAATCTAGTTAGTTAATAAAATATTTTGATTGTTTGTATCACAAGAAAAAATAGCTTCGTTGTAAAATTTTTCGTAAGAAGAAATACTATGTATATATTATTATATAATATATATTATATATTTGTATACTCAAGAAATGAATAAAACAGGATAAATAGTTGTTCATTTGGAAGAATGAAAGCGAAAGAGATAGAGGATATGGTTGGAAGAAAATTAGTAGCAGTCGTATGACTAGCCATGACAGGCAACACTCTCGAACTTCTGTTATGGGACACGTAGGAAATGGAGTGTTCCTCCAGCTCGTCTTCTACTATTTTTCCTCATAGCGAGGGAATAGGATGAAAGGGCTTAGATACGTTTTATCGTCTGGGCGGACTCCGCCCTCGTAGAATTTCATCAACCTGATATCAGCTTAAGGGGCACGTCCGTCCTCTTCGTCCTGCAGAACGGGTGCGACTTGTCTATTTTTTCTTTCGATAAGAAATATCCTCGTTTTTTTTCATTCTCACAATGTTCCATTTATTTTCTGCGAAATAGTATAGTATTCTTATTCTCTTATTTTATTATTATATTAATAGTTAGAAGGAAAAAATAACGAGATAAAATGGATTTAATGCATTGTAAGATAATATTATCTTTTCATTTGAATAATGTATTAATTGTTTATCCAGATTAATATCCAAGCATTACAATTTACTATTTTATCTATAGTACATTTAAGATGATTAAGTAAAGAATAATCTGAAAATGATAGGAAGATTTGTTCTTTTTTTTTTTTTGTCGAGTCCGGTCATTTATTCGAAACTTTCTTACGAATACTCGAAGAAAAATAGACTCTCCATTCTTTCCTTTACTTACTCTTCCTATCTCCTATTTGGAGTCGTTCATTACTTTAATGATATTGTGTCTTATTCAGTGTCTGTTTTACAATTACTTTTTCTGGTCCCTTTTCTAAGTTCTTATCATGTATCTCGATGAATTTCTTTTTTTCTTTTCTTTTCTTTCTTTCTACATCATTGCTTATCTTTTCTACAGGTACATTTACTCCATTTAGATAGTATTAATTAGCTTGATCACCTCAGCTATCTTTTCCATCTTTCCCTCTTTTTTTCTTCTTTTTTCTTTCCTTTCTTCTTCTCCGTTCTATGACGCTTGACGAACACACTGAACCTTCTCTCTCTCTCTCTGTTTTTTTTTTTGGTAAATTTTCTAGCTACGTTACTAGTTTTAAACTTTTCCTTCTTCCATCAAGATTTTTGCTCAGACTCACAATACATTCTTTCGTTCCGTTCTTTGCGCATTGAGCAACTACGACTACGACGACAACGAGAAAAAAGAAGACCACGGCTACAACAGGTATAACGACATCGGTGAAGAAAAGCCGAATGATGACCTCTCGTGCGAGTATAATTTGAAGGATGCTTTAGGAAAGCGAACGTAATTGAAAACGTGACGTAACGTCATTTTTTTCTTCTCCTCTTTCTGTAGATATCTTTTTTTTCGTTGGCAGATCACGAGCCTCAATGTCTTTTGTTCTTTTTCTTTTCTCCTTTCGTTGGTATAACTGACAAAAAAATGCAAGTAGAGTATAACCGAGCGCAACGAGAACACAAAAGGAAAATTAAAAAAAATAAAAAGAAAAAGAAAAAGAAAAAGAAAAAGTAGAAAAGAAAAATCGAGCTATAAATACATTTTCCAAGATAAAATATTAATTTAACAATTATATTCGATAGAGAGGAAATATGGGTAGGAGGTATTGGAATATTCGAAGATCGATAGAAATTTTTGTCGACATCGTTGACACGAAGGAGAATACGGCCATTATTCTTTTCATATCCTTGCACCTCTCCGACGTCTGTCTTCATTTCAATATTCATCGCTAGGCTCGCCATAACTCTCGACAAGTCGGAACGTAAAGTTTACGAGGTCGGATGAACGTAGTCGCGTGATAAATTTGGCCTCTATGTAGAAGTAGGGGCGGGATCGACGTGCGTCCAACGAGGATATACGTGGGACGGCTGCCACCCGGTACGTATGTATGCATCGCGAACGGACCTATGTATATATGTACACACTAGGTAAATATATAGCGCGTTGCTATGATAAATAAAAAGGTTCTCGTAAAAAATAGGAAAAAAAAAATAAAAAAGGACTCGATGTTCGTTTTCTCTCTCTCTCTGTCTCTCTGTTTTTCTGTCGCCAAGCCTTTGCCAATTCGAACGGTACGATAGACCAATGAGCTGTCATTCGTGTTTAATAAGTGATCGAGAGATCGACATGGAATCCAAAGCGAAAGATTACGCTAGAGAGGCCTCATGAAGGGGGAGAGAAAGAGGAGCTAGAATAGAGGAGGTAGAGGAGGAAATATGCATATAGTTGAGCTTCCAAAACGGGATAGAAAAAAATGAAGTTGTCGCCGGTAGATCAAAGAGAACGCGGCGACAGACTGTACTAGTACTCATCCACAGTCTCCCTTTCTTTATTGTAGGATGTATTCATCTATAGGTTCGTCAACATTTTCGATTTGAAATAAGCGGATATCCGGGTATGAGACTCTACCTCGTTCAAAGATGAAAGTGAAAAAAGGAGGACGGGAGGTTTGGTTTGGGAGTAAAAGCCTGTTTTTTTTTCTTTTTTTTCATATTTTTGTTCCCGTGTCAGATTCGTTCACAATCGTGAAATAGAGTAGATATAGCGAAATTAATCAGGCGAGAGAAACAAAATTGAAGGAAAAATTTGAAATAAACGTGTCGATTTATTCGGTATCTAAGGTACGAGCGATCGATTTAAAGTTATAATCGTAAAACTCGTAAAAGTAAGTCGTCAGGCGGTTCTGTCGAGAGAACTTGCGATCGAATCGGTTACCGATTGCCATTCCTACGTAACAAGCCTCTAAAATCAAGCTGGAATCGAAACGTCATAAAGGGATCTTCGGCGAGGATTACGAAGTAGCATGAGTATAAGACGAAGGGGAGAGGTTGAAGGAGGACGAGGAGGAGGAGGAAAAGGAGGAATCGAAACCGGAAGAAATGGAGTTGTCGCTCGTAGATCAATCAGAACGTCCGAATTCATAGACAGGTTCCTTTCACTTTACGAGTCACCCTTGTGAAAGATCTTCTCTCCATTCTTGTTCTTTTTTGCTTTCACCTCCCTTTTCTTTCTCGTTTCTTTTTACGACGTTTCACCGAGAGATCGCTAGGGAATAGAGTAGGTTCTCGCGTTAAGGAAACGCGATATAAGACTGGAAAAGTAGAAGAAGGGTGCTGCTGCTACTGCTGTTGGTACTCTTCACTTAAATTTCTGCTGTAACTCGCGAGAAATCTCGCGCAGATCCTTTTATTGGTGCAATAAAAGTAGCGCCGTCGCACGCGCGCTCGCACTACGCCGACGCATGGAATAAAGAGGCTCGTAAAATCGGTCGGTTCGGTGACGCGTTGAGAATGAGGATGAGATTGCCGATGAGAAAACGGCTGATACCCGTTTCTATTCGTTTCCTTTTTTTATTTTCTCTCTTTCCTATCTCTTTGTTTTTCTCTCTCGTTTCTCTCTTAGATTTTTTTTCTCCTTTACGACGTCCGCGTGAACCAATAATATCTTTCAAGGTAAAACGTGTCGTCGAAAGATAAACGATACCGAAAATTGCATTTTTACGATGTTTCGTCTACTTTCATATGATCTAAATTGAAAATTTCGAATAGTATTCCATATCGAAATTGATATCATTTCCAGACGAGTAATCAAATATTCCTTTAAATTGAATGCATAATGAACTTCGTAATTAACATTATCTGTTTATGTATTGCAATTGACGTCGTATTTGTTGTATAAAATTAAACAGACAAATTTACTTTATGTTTCTGTTTTCTATTTTTGATCTTAACTTTTATTTCAACATCATATACTTACACACAACGTCGATCTTCCATGACTTTTCAAGAAAGAGACCGGTCACATTTGGATTTTCTGCCCTGCAGGTTATTGATTTTCCGTGATCTTCGACACCAGGTTCAAATTCCACCATGCTAACAGTACAATTTTCGGACCTTTCTTCCTATAAAACATAAAAATACAGTAAAAGAAATTGACTATTATGCGGTCACTAATATGTTTGATTTAATATCATAGATATCAAGTTTTAAATTTGTTTAAACAAAACAATTTTATAAATTGATGCAATTAAACATTGTTTTTAAATTTTCTAAACTTGAAGGAACAATTTTTGATGATCTAAACGTTAGAACAATTTTTATAATTGACCATTTTCTTCAATAATGAATTTATTACGTTTAAATTGGATTTAGCCATTCGATTATGAGCAACTTTTATATGAGATCTCTTGTAATCAGAGATAATTGTAAGCGATATTACTTTTTTATATGTAGAAACTGTTAAATAATCTTAAAAAGTGCCTGCTGTTTTTACACTGTATTTTCTTATAGCACAAAAGCTTATCAGACATAAAATGCTTTTTCACGTTACGATACATAAAACCTCTTATGCGGCTAACGCACCATTAAACAGAATATGAACCTTATGTAAGGATTTGGAGTTTCCATTAAAATTTTTTTCTACTTCGATGGACTCATTTTACTAGAAAATTGCATTCGCCCTATTTCCCTCTATTACCTTTAACTTAACACTCATTTATCAATGTTTTTACATACACACATTTAGCTACTGATTAATGTAATTGTATTATGTAACTTGTATTATCGATAAGATACATATATATATTATAAAAGAAATAAATAAATCGAAAAATGAATTTCTTAGAGTAAGTATATTTAAGGAAATAGTTAAACAGATCTTATTGTTAGGTGAGAACAAACAAAATTAATTGTACAATTCGTAACAAGCATGTAAATAGTCGATATATAGATCCGTGCACGAAGAGATTCAATAAATTTAGTCTCTATCTCTTGATATCTATCTATTCGTGGAACGTTTGTCGTCGTGCAAATGTGTACACCAAATTTGAACACGCTGGTCTCGTTGTTGAATGTAAGGGACGAGGAGAGAAAGAGAAAGTGAGAGAGTGAGAGAGTAAAGAGAAGTAAGGAGAACGGAGGTGCTACAAGAGAAACCAAGGAGTAGCAGGCGACAGGCTGAGTACACGATACGCGTTAACGGAAGATGTGTGTGCGTTTTCGCTCAAGCAGAAGTCCCAGTTACCAACTGGAATATCTTGTTAAGGAATTCGCTCAGGATGTCGGACTCTGTTCTCTTCCAAGAGTGTTTCTTACCTAGTACAGAAGCTAAAGCTCACTATTAACAGCTGCAACTAGAAGTCAGAAGTCTCTATCGAATATCTATGAAATTGCAGAGAATCGTTCGACAATCAATGAATGATTTTGTCAAAGAGAGAAGATGAAAGGCATTTCTTGAGTCAGTTCAAGACAATATCAGAAATTCTTTGAGATACTTTCTTTCTTTCCCAGTAAATATACTTTCTTACAAAGTTCATCGCGAATTCGATGTGACTTTAATAGTAAGGAGAATTTTCATTAAAATACAAACGACTATTTGTAAAGTGAATCATAGAAAAGTTGAGTTGGTAAATCTACTGAAGACTCCTTTATGACAAGGTTACCGGAACTAATGTTTAATTAGAAATACTAAAAAACTCTGTTCGTTTGTAATTTTGAAAATTTTTTAACCGTTCGTAATATACTCGAGATATCAGCGAACCGCTATTAGTTTTTTACTATGTTTCTGTAATCAAGAAGAGTAAAGAAGAAAACAGAAATAAAAAGATAGAAAGATAGACGGGTCAGGAGTTAAAAGTGACGCCGAAAGTCGAGATCTTCGTCCTTAACTCGACGGTTTTGCCTGTACTCGACATTTTTAATTTCGTATTCAAAGTCCGATTGCGCTCAACCCGTTGCCTCGTTCCTACTGCACTTGGTTTCCCTTCTTTCCTTGTATCACCCTCCACTTCGCATTAACCTACTCGAGTTTTACGAGGGTTTCGTTTTACAAAAGCATCTTTTTACTCGTTTTTTTCTCTTTCTTTCTTTTTCTCCCGCTTCTACTTTCTTTCTTTTTCTCGATCTCCACTTTCTGTACTTGCCGCTCGAACTACTCTCTGGCATTACCTCAACGACGAAGCGAACGTAATTTAAGAAAAATAACAATTTCGGGAGTCATCCGGAACGCATTTCGAAAGCCGTAACAACTTGTAGACGTAAGAGTAGATAACGAAAGGATAAGGATGTAAGAAAAAGAAGAGAAGAAAAAAAAACTAATTCAATGGCACAAGATGGTAAAAGAAGGTTGCCACGAATGAAAAAACAAAAATATACGGCCGCGTCCACTATGGTTAATTTTGGTTATATTAAGGTCGAGAGTCAGCTCGTAAGCAACCGTTATGTGCAACATCTGCACGAAAATTGTACTAGCTCCCTATCTTTTATCCTTTTCTACGAAAGAAATCAAATTGTTTTCGTCGACCTATCTAATGACAAAAAATAATATAACATAGATATTGAATCATTGCTATTATTGTTCAGCTTGCTTTCTTCTTCTTCTTCTTCTTTTGTCGTATTGTACTGTTGACGAGAGGAACGGAAGCAAGTGTCTCGACTACATAAAGCAACGTTGATTATTAAAGGATGGCTTAGAAGGGAGGCACGCGTTTCCGTGGATTTCCGAAAATCATATTTTCTACGAAAGCTATATGGTATCCTCGTTATCTCAAGTCAGGAATACGGCTTTGTCTACTATATCCTCGGATTTAGCTCGCTTCGCTCTTCGAAATTCTCCTTTCTCTCTCTCTCTCTCTCTCTCTCTCTCTCTCTCACTCTCTCCACCTAACTCCCTCTTAGTGACTCTGTCTTGTGCGCGCGTCTCCATTCTCCGTGAACTTCGTGCGTGTCCTCCCGCAGGTGAGGGAGAATTGTAGAACAAGGAGCGAAGGGGGAAGGACGGAAGATGCAGAGGTGGATGGCTATAGGATAATCAGGATGGTAATACGGTAGAAGTGGTATACGTGATCCGTCGGTTACAGGATCTGCTTATGTTAATATCTCTCCTCGCCTCCTATCCAAGGCCTTCTTCCCCGAGACGCGACCAATTCTACAACGGTCGAGTCGACCGCACCCTTTCTCTTCGAACCCTTCAGCCACTCTTTAGAGACCCTCCCTTCTCTTGCCGTGCTCGGAGCTCCTACTCTGGGCTTATATTTTATTATCTGGTACTTAGGAGAAACGCCAAGGAGAATTTTAAATAGGCACGTCGGCACCTTCGACGTCATTCCTAAAAACGAGACTGTGGTTGAAAATACACGGAGGCCCTTATCAGTCGCTCGTGCTGCCTGTCACGAACGAAACGCCCGAGATTCTTCGTTAATTGTTCGTACTTTGAAATTAACGGGCCGAATTAAACGCTGACTCGGTAACGTTCCAAGCCGTCTGTGTTCTTCTTCTTCGACGACGACGTTCTCGCTGAGTCCTTAAGTTTATACTCCTTCTAAGTGGTTAAGAGTTCGTTAATGTCTCGCGCCGATCGCTTATCTCGCTATTTGCATTTTACATATCGAACATCGAGCTCTTTTCCCTTGTCCTCGTTTCTAGTAGGTTGTTAACATTTTTCATTTTAATTTTCATTAGTCCATTTAATTGCCATTGGAAATAACGTTGTTGATAACTTTAAGCGAAGATCGATCGTTTGCAATTATTACTAACTAGTTTCTAGTTTCATTATATAAAAAATACATGGTGGACGGTCGAGTTCACAGTAAATGACATAAATGTTTCTCGATATTGTAGGATTGGTCGATACTTTGGTCGACGTTACTCGTTCAATCGTGAAAATTGTTAATGAACTACACGAAATTAATTAGGGTCGTTCGTCAGTACGATACGAACGCTAACAACGAGGACAGTTTCGACATATATGCTCAACGGTGTTCGGAAGTTGCGTTTGTAATTTTGGATTATCGATAAATGTGCCAACCCCTTGGGATCGTTAGAATCTAACTAGAACGATACAAGCGTGGAATACTTACAATTAGATCAGGGTCAACGACGATTGTGAATTTCTAATGAACGTGATTAAGTAAAACTTATAATCACGTAACAATGAATATATTTTACGACAATTTCGTTTTTTCATTTTCTAATTGTAAATACAATTGAATTACAATTACATTTTATTTTTTATACGTTTATGAGTACTTACAATTTTTTAAACGCTATAGAATATTCTTTAAAACATTTGACAGACACGTAGGAAAGATTTGTGGGCTTTCCTTTCACCGCTATTACCAAGCTAGCCCTTTGGGAAGTCAACGCTAATGTGCTCTTTGCGATACATATATTATGAGGTAACATTGGATATTCCCACAGGATAAAAGCTCGATTTTGCGGCCACGTTCGCCCTAGCATTATCCTGCCGGACATTTTAAAAGGATAGGCAAGTTGGACGAATACTTTAATTTTATTTCATTTTAAATTTATTATTAATTGTGAATTATTTTTCGATGGATTAACGAACGAATGATAAAGGTAAAACTTTTTTGATTGTTATTTTTTTTATGCGATGAAAAAAATTCAATTATAATCTTTAAAATTTTCAAAATTGAAATTAAGCTTAATAAATGAAAATAATAAAAAGTATTAATTTATAATTAAAGTAAATTAATTTTTCCTATTTTCCTGTGACAACTTATAAATACGTTTTATCATACGAAATGACATGTTTTTAAATTAAACAAATTAAAAGAAACCTTTTTCATACGTTTATAGTTATTGTTAAATGTTCGTATAAAATCCCGTTTAGTCTCGTTAAGGATGCACAGAAAGTGAGCGTGTGTAAAGAGAATGAGATTGGTTGAAACGGCATAGCTTAATTGGCAATTAGCATACTACCAATGAAAACATCTGGATCCGACAGGTGCGGCCCGCTTAATTCAATCGTTGCACCGCGAAAGCTCAAAGCTAGCCGTTCCTTTCGATTCCCTTTCACAATCGAATGCGACTCGAAGCTGGAGAATCGAATCGGTTCAAAAAGAGTGCTATCTCTCTCACAAGTCCTACCTTTGTCTCTCTCCCTCTCTCTCTTTCTCTTTCTCTATCTATTTCTCTTTATCTGACTGTCTAGTTCAAGAGTGCAGGAAGGTGTGCGCGCGCACATGTTCACCCTACGCTTTGCGTTCATCTCTCTCTAACTGCGTTTCTCTCTCTCTCTCTCTCTCTCTCTCTTTCTCTCATCCCTTTTGACTCTGTTTCTCTTGGAAGATTTCTCCCAGGGGAAAGATCCGTGATCGGGGGGTTGTAGTTATCGGTTTCCTCGGGCGCTTCGACCTTTCTACTCATCCTTCTCTCGGTACCTTTTACTCTTAGTGCCGAGTGGTACCTCCCTCCTTTTCCCTCCTCCCTTTTCCCTCCACCCTTTCTCCTTTCTCTTTCTCTCGGCCTTTCCTTCGTAATTCTTAGGAGTGCCACTGGAAAATCGAAGCAGCCACGATCTTGCCACTATATCTAGAGATCTCTTCGGCACCTAAAGGCGTAACCTCGGTCATGGGAGGTCCTCGTTAAGGATCGATGGCCTCGTTACTGGACAACCTGTCTCGTAATGTGGATCGCGCCGTAACCGAAGATACTTCATGGCAGATGGTAGGTACTTATAGAGGTGTCGCTTCTCGATACTCTTTTTTTATCCTTTCGATTTATTTTTCTTTTTCTTTCACTTCTGCACTCTTTCTCTCTTTGTTTTTCATTTCTTTTTCTATTTAAAACGCGAAGAAGAGATGTACTAACGATCCACCTTTCACGCGATGAATATGGATGCAAGGTTGTTATTCCATCCATCCTTCGGAAATCACCTTCTTTTCTTTACCCTCTCGCCAATTTTAATTGTTTCTTGACTCAAAAAAAAATAAACAACGGATTTTATTTTTTTTTTTGTTCTTTAGATTGTAAATATACGCCAATCTTTCGATATACTTCTGGAAATACGTATTAATATTCGAATATAAATTGAAAAATTGTGTGAAGGATAGCGTTTAGCTACCTATTGCGTCGACGTATCGAAAACCGATATTTAACCAATTCTTTCAAATTGTTTAATAAACTGTTATCGTTATATGCGATGTTATTTAATTCTGCAAGTAATTAGTTATGCGACAGGGTACTTTTGTTCTGTGTTGAAAAGAAAGAAATCGATAATGATAATAAAGAGAAAAATGGAGATTGAAATAGGAAGAAGGAAAACGTGCAAAAAGTTACTTTTGCAATCGCAGACAAAAGATATACGATGCGACGTCTTGCCCGAAAAAACGTAAAAGAGTATTCCGTTTTGTCTCTGTCCATCTTCTTTCTCTATTTTTCTCCAATAAGTCGAAATTTCTAATCTCGGGTTATATTATTTCTACTTTTCATTCTTACCGTGGTATGCTTCAATTGTCTTCTTCGGCCTTTGTACCATGTAATTACTGCTGGTGGCCTTGAACCAGTGGTCACGCATTCAACCTCATAGCGTTTTCCTGCTAGCAAAGAGTTGTTTCCGTCTTCATTTGTTTTGGGTCTTCGTATGGCCACAGTCAAAGGTTTCACTGAAAATATTTTTAAAAAGGATCATATGCATTATTAAAGGATAATTATTGTCAATTTTATACGTTCAAATTCATATCAACGTTTTCCATTTCCATTAGATTATTTTACAAGGAAATATTTTGTTTGTCATTACCAAAAAATTTTTAATTAATATTGTCCACCGCCATTTATTTTAACTCGATCTGCCTATCATTTTTTACTTTTTTCACTTTTTCCTTTATTTATTTATTTATTTTTCTTCCAAGCGGTGCTCGGCAATTGCATCTGTGATCGATGCTAATCAGACGCGATAATTAAGGTGAATAAACGAGCGCATTCTACGTGAGTTCGATATGAATGCGAAAACTCGTTGCGAAACATTGAACTCCGCTCGACAGTCGATCGTTTGTCATTTTCATCCGTTTGAGTTGCATCGATGGTACTTTCGTCCTTGCATATACTACTACCTAGCAGGATGGTGTTATTTCAGAGATGACCACTTGAAAAGCTACCTGCGAAGTGTTCATTTGTTGTGTTGTCGTTGAATGATTTTGACAGTACCATTATATAAATAGAATCGTACGTTAAGAATAATTTATTATTATTTTTATTAGTCAATGTTGCCTGATTATAATGATTTTAAATTCAATTTTTCAAACGTTGATTGAACATTTTTGAATTAAAAAAAAAACATAAAAGTGAGAGATGGAGAGCAAGAAAGAGAGAGAGAGATAGAGATATTGCTATCTACAATTTTGCAAATTTCGTTTTCACGATCGGTCTGTCTCGCTTGTGCTCGATATTTTAGTCTCTGTCGTTCTTTCTTCCTCTCTCTGCTCTTTGCTCTTTTTTAAATTTCCTCTCTCGCTTTTTGTTCGTCCAATGGCATGAAATGAATACGCGGTGGATACATGGCCACTTGGTCGAGGTCGCGAAAATCAAAGGGGAGGCGTCGATCAATCTCTATACCTCTTTTCTCTTTGCCCTTTTTTTCTCTCTTTCTCGCTTTCGTTCTGATTTCGTTTTTTTTTCTTTCATTTTTTTTTCGGATCCACCACTATGATGGGATCTACTCCCTTTCTTTCTCGCTCTCTCCTACTATCGATAACGGGTCTTCAATTTCACCGGATCTGTTTCGAAAAATATCGTAACTTTCACAACGCCCATGATTTAATGTGAATCATTCGGGTGTGTCGTTTATTCAGCTCTTTTACTGAGAAAAACAAGAAAAGCATTATTAATTGACAGAGAGAGAGAGAGAAAGAGAGAGATTGGGGAGAAAAAATGCTTGCACAATACCTCTTCCAGTAAATTTTGTTTTGAGAATAAAATAACACGTTCCTGGTATACTTGTTTCTTATTCGCAACAAACACGCTTCTTCCAACAATAAGTAAAAAGGTTATGAAGAAACGCGTAAAAGAAAGTATGAGTATTAAGGATCAGCATGATATCGTACCTAGAAAATAATTAAGTAGGATTGCATATTTCTTTTTTTTTTCTCTTTTGTTTATAACAAGAAGGGAAACTACAGAATGGAAATGATTCTTAGAAACTGTTTTTGTCTTATTAAGAAAAAATCGGTTTCTTTTTATACTTTTTTTTTCTTTCTATATTTCTTTCCCTTTTTCTCTGTTAAAACTAAAGGAAGGATTCTAAAAAGTCCCAAGGAGAAAGCACCGCTGTTTCCAAGGCTCGCAACTCTCCTTCGAAAGAGACGAATGAATCGTTGGGTGGGTCTCGAGGGTGAATTTAATACATTTCTCGTGTTATCTTCCTTTATCTTCCCTTAAAGACGATTCTCAGCGACGAAGAAGTAAAGGATGTTGGCCCACTTTTCCTGTCTCGTAGATTTTATCGTTTAATGCGGGACAAGAGATAGGCTTCTGATTTGTTAGTTGGTCGATAAGAATTCCTACCTTTTTTTTTTTCATTCTTTTTTCACTTTTTTCTTATTTTATTTCTTTTTCTTCTATTGTATTTTCTTTTATGTATATATTCGTCTTATTTTATAAGGCTTATTTTAGGAAAAACCGTATATCATTTAATTCCTTTATTGAACATTTTCTTATTTATTTTTTATTAGATTGTTCTTTATAGGTTTAATTTTTTAGAAAGACATCAATTTTACTTACGATTTAGGTCCAATGTGATTGTAGTAAACTTAGATTCTACTAAATCCGTGTTGTGCGCTTCACAAGTAAAATTAGCGCCAAGCTCCGATCGAGTAATCGGCTGTAACGTAAGCCTGAAATAAAAACGAATTGTCTATCTGTACATTATTCAGATAAATTTTGTATTTTGATTTAGTTACAAATCAATATTTTCATTTAAATAATTACCTATTCTCGATGACGTCTCCGGCGTTGTTCTCGTATTCTTCGTCCTTAATAATTCCATTGATACGCCATCTAACCATAGGTTCTGGTTTACCTGCAATTATCATCAAAAATATTCATTTCATATTTTATTTAATGGACACTTTAAAAAAATTATAAATTAATCAACGTTGAATCGAACATAATTAAATAGTTGAATAAATAAATATTAGTAAAAAGAAGATTTTTATTTCGGTCGTGACTTTTATAATCAATAAGTTAAACAAATGCCAATTTATCAGACATACATTTCAATATAATTTCGCATTTCCTTCACAATTTTTAAGCTCTTTCTCTCTCTTTCTCCCCTAAATGAGGCATTATTATAAACTTTGTTTTGATTTCAAACAAAATTTGACGGAAATTAACAAGGATTTGAAATTAGAAGATTGAATGTTCATAATGACTGTTTAATACTTTTCAATCTGCTAAAAGTACATGTTTTTCAATATTATAATGAGAAAGAAGGATTTAAATAGTTTTAATACCTTAGTAATGTTGAAAACCGAAGAAACGATAAACAACAAATAGTTTAATGACACGAGAAAGGAAAAAAATGTAATTTCTTTTTTAGAAAAGTTGTTTTGGGAGTAAAAAAAAGGTAAAATAAGAGAGTACGAGAGCAGAAACTAGGAAAACAGAGAATGGAATAGAGATAACGTATACACCGAACAGGAGCTATCGTCGAAGTAACTAAACGGCCGATGAGTTCGTGGCAACTTTTAAATTAGCCGATATTCTAGAACACAGCAGGGCAGCGCGTGATACTGCAAGCAAAAAATATTGTACTTGATAGGTGAAAGTTGTAAACTCTCGTATCACGAAGCGCCCGATAATATTGTACATTCATTGAAAGATTAATTAAAAACCGACGTACTGACATATCTATGTCTACTCATTTATTCACATTTATTTATATATATTAATTACAGTAAATTGATGGTAAGTATGTTTTCGTTCGAAAATACGGACGTTGATGAAACACAATTTTAATATATATATAAATAAAATAATCAAGGAAAATTGTACGAAAGAATAAAACGCAAATGATTTGCTTTAAATTTTTTCTATTCGTGTTTAAAAAAAGGGATGTCTCAGTGGTGGATATCTCTCGATGTTGTTGCTTTCATTATTATTCATGTAGCTTTCTTGGCTGCTGGAATCGCAATTTAATCAGGTTCAAGATATAGGAAATGGATGCTTGCAATAACACTTAAAATTGCAAGCTGATCTTCGTAGAAAGTGCGCCGTACATATAGCGTAACGCCTCTTAGATTAGCTTGGTATCATTGTTATTCACGATACTCGCCCATCCTGATTGCGTTTTAACCGTCTCGTTCTTTCCAATCTTCCTTCTCTCGACCACTTTCTTTTACTTTCCTCTTATTCCTTTGTGAATCTACGATACTTTGGGGAACGATGTTTCGACGCTAATTCGATCCTATTAATTTTCTTTTCACGTACTACATAATTTTTTACATCATCCAAAACAGTTACATTACAAAGCATATACTGGATTTTTTTATTTGTTTCCTATAAGTTTTGTCTTATCAATTTTATCTGTTTTTCTTCAAGAGAATAATTTTGTTGTAAGTACCTAACTATTATTTAACATTCATACGAATTCATACTAATAATAAGAAAATAAAGAGACCAAGTGAAAGATAAAATGAACTTTCTGAGCGTTTGTAGCTTTGACTTTAAGCATTGAACTATAGTCAAACTCTCTTCTTCATTGAGCGATGGTAGTAGAGCTGTTGGAACGACGACATCTACGCTATCTCCGAGGCGTGGCACTAAAGTGTGGATTTTAATCCGCGGATACCGGACGATATCTTGCAGGATTAAGGCGTCGCTCGGCAGGCGGCCACCCACATCTAACAAGTTTACCGTTGGTTCGAACTCTGCTTAAGGCAAATACCCACCACCGGTGGCTTCGGGGATCAGGGCCCTCACGTTGGATATCCTCCCTCTCTCTCCTTCTCTCCTCTCCTATTCTCTCTTTACTGGATTCCTAATCGCTTCACCCTTCCTTTTACCTTCCCTCTTTGCCCCTTTTCTTAGTCCTTTCAACGTATCCAGATTTAGTTCCCTTCTCGTTCGATTCTCTAAATTGTCCTACCTTCTCTCTCCCTTCCACTTACCGCTTCTAAAACATTTACGTTGCTTACTCAATGACTACGTTCTATCTCATAAAGAGACCTATATTCGATCGTATTTAATTGTGAGATGAAACCTAGCTACTTCAAAACAGATCTGCTATAGACCATCAACGTATACATGTTACACAGTAAGTATGGATTATCGTTATCAACTATCCATTGATAGACAAGAGCTATTAATGATACCCTTCATTACTCAAGATATCAGCATCTGACAACTTGTTCAAGATACTTGGTATGGTATGGCATTGTAATTAGCGTTTAATGCCTTTGTATCTCATTTTAGACTGACAGATATCCTATTTCCTAACAATATTCCGTGTCCTAATAATTAATAATTATTCTGTAATTCTGTCCACATTCATAGAGTATACACGATCAATCTCCGTGTCGTTAAATTTAATATTAAACAAATGAATATTATGTCAATCATGTTCAACAAAAATGACGAATGAACTTGTCGTAAAGTTAAAATATTCCAGATATTACTTTATTAATCAAATTTGTTATTTTTCTCGACTGAAAAGTTTAAGGTTTTTCTTTTATATATTTTTTAATTAGTTTGTAAAATTGGAATGTCGAAATATTACGTATAATATTTTATTTCATTTTCAATTATCGTTATTCGTTGTAAGGGTGAATGAACATTAAATAAATTATACGGTTGTTAACTGTACGAACCTGGTTACAACGCTTAAACTTGATCTTTCTCATTTATTTCATATTTTGATTGGCTGGCTCTAACAAGCTACAATTAATAATTGGTTATTACGATTAATTGCGACTTTGATAATTCATCGGTTTTGTTTATCGAATTAACACGCTTTAAATGTCGACGATTTGTACGGAGGGATAGGCGTGAACGTAAATGTCACTACATATTCGAGGAACGTTTGTCGTGGGATAATCGATCGCTCATTCGTCGTTGTAAGTTAAATTATGTGTGCTTTCTTCTCGTTATGTATTTCAACCAAAAGCTTTATGTTGATAATAAGCATGAAGTTAAAAAATTGATGATTCCAAAGTACAGTCGAATATAACGAAACAGGAAGATAGAGAAATTGTGATTATTGAAAAAATATGTAATTATCTATAAATTAACGTGTTTTTTTTTTTAAATTACATTTAACGTATTCAGGATTATTTATTTCTCATAACGATCACTTTTCTTTATAATTACATAAATCATATTTTTAACTATTTATCAGATTCATTAGTTTTCCTGTGAATTCTCCTGCTATCCTGTTAATAATAATTTTTAATTACAGAATAAAGTATTCCAAATGTCTTTTTTACGAATTTTTATTTTTTAAATTCCTAAGCTAATAGTTTGTCATTGATTTATTTACATTAAATATGCTGCATTATACAATATTTCATAATTATTTTAAAACGATATTTTTTTTTAAACGATATTTTTGTTTCCTTTCATTGGCAAACTATTATTTATTTAACCATCGTAATGTGTCTTAAAAATTAATACTATTTAAGTAAACTTTGAATTCATTTTACTATTGGAGTCATTGTGGCCAAATTTTCATTTTTAACGAGGTAAAGAGACAGTCTAAAAATAACCAAGAGAGCAAGAGAAATAGAAAAAGACAGAAAAAAGAGAGAGAGAGAGAGAGAGAGAGAGTGAGAATGACACGATTTAAATTTTGCTTTTTAATATTTATTTTCGAACTTTTTCGGATTGCGTTGATACATGGATTAAAAAATAAATACTCGCAGCACTTTGTCCGACTTCCGAGCTTGTGACGTTACATGTAATCCTGAGGGAAATAGGCGAAGTGTTTCGGCTTGTTGGATATTCGAGTGAGCTAGTGAGGGAAAGAGAGAGGGAAGGAAAGAGGGGGAGAAAGAGAGAGAGAGAGAGAGAGAGAGTGAGAGAGAAACAGAAATGGAAGTCGATCGAAGGTGAAGAGAGGGAGAAAAGAGAGGCTCATTCGCTCTGCAAGCGAGGATAATTATCGGAATAAACTGGCTCGATGTAGAATACACGGTGAGTTGGTTTGCCGGAAACACGACATTCGCGATTCGGTTCTGATTTACTCGCTCGGGGGATTTTCCAGAATGTAACTAGTGATCCGAAGAAAGCAAAAAAGAGGAAATACACAGTAATATTCTATTGTGATTTTCGATAAAATATTGCCATCTTAATCGAAGATGTACGTTTAAGTAATACATAATAATAATAAGAATAATAATAATAATAATAATGGAAAAAATAGAAAAAGAAATTAATAAAAGCAGGTCACAAAATGGTATCGCGAATAAATGCTATAATATAAATTAAAACGAAATATCTGGAGCGAAATAACGCTGTTCTCTCTTTTTCTCTCTCCTTTTTTCCTTTTGTTGTAAAATCAATAAGGAACAAGAATAGGACAACTATTTATTCGCATTTTTTTAGTCCCTTTCACCTACTGTTTATTTAGTCTCAGAGGGACGCGTATGATTGGATTTAACGTAAAAGTGAAAATATTATATTCTTTAATTTAAAAAGATGATCTATTGTGATCTTAATAGTAAAAATAGACAAGGAAGTCTATTTTCTTGTTGTCCTTTAAGAGAAGAAGGAACAAGGTTAAAGGGAATGATGAGCATAGGGATGGAGGAGACTTTTTTTTACGCGCGTATACATTCTCGAGAACAGGCCTTTCGATTCTTTCCGAGCACGAAGTTAAGTAATTGGCAATAAATTTCATTCGCGGAACGAGTCGTAAAATTTCTTCACCACCGATGCTATAAATTATAGACAAAGCGGAAATCGAGCACCGAATTAGGTTTAACTCTAAGTCACGTATAATGAAGCAACCAAGAAAGAGAAAGAATGAATAAAGATTCTGAGAGAGAGAGAGAGAGAGAGAGAGATTCGAAGATGAATTCTTCCTCTTGTCAGGAGAATCCTCTATATATGTATTTTATTTTAATCCTTTTCATTCTCTTTAAATATTCCTACGTTCGGTAAGTAAACTTCATTTTGTTTTTCTTCTTTATTTCAAATCGATTAATATAATAATCGGCGCCAATCTTTATAATTTTCTCCTCCATTTTTTTCCATTTATTTAATTAATCGATTGTTCGTTCGAGTGGTTTCATAAAAAGGATTAAAAATTGCAGAAGCACGCGTAGACCCCTTTTATTAAAGACATTATTATCGTCCTTCTCACCCTCTTCGTCATCGAACTTATCGTCGTCGTAGTCGTCGTAGTCGTCGTACGCTTGAAAGTAAGCAACTAAATTACTAGGTAAACCACGACTTCCGCATCATACCGCTTTCCGATTCTCCTTTACTACCGCGAAATTTCATCAGAGTATAAAAATTAGATTATTTGGGGAGGGATGCATATATAGGTATTTATATCTGGTGGTAGATGCAAGAGATTGGAATATTTTTTTTTAACGGAAAAACCGAAGCGATAATTATTGAACGCATGGCCATAAGAAGTGGGGGATTGGGGGAATGTATTCAATATCTATTTCTGGTCTCTTATGTAGCCATTAATTTGCTTTTTTTTATCGTCAGAGTTAAATGAATGAATGAACACGATAAATCATTAATGTAAAAAGTGAGCACGAAGAATAAATAAGGTATTTTTATTGAAATACTTATCGATAAAATTTAAAAAATTTTGTCGTTCTGCTTATTGTTTTTTATTTACATTACATTATAATAATTTTTATTTTCAATATTTTTGGAGATGATAAATACAAATTGTATTAAATATTACCGTTTAATCAGGAAGTATATAATATTTTCACGTAATTCTTGCATCATCGAGTAACGCGTTTCGCACTGCGGTCACGAATTGAATTGCAAATTATGTAAAAGCAAGCGGGAAAATAAAGAAAAGGAATGCGGTCAACGTGAGAACGCATAGCGTGTCCTTTTATTTTAAAAAATTAAAATGAAGAACGAAAAGGTTTAGGAGGAAAGATCGTTATTGAGAGAGAAAGAAAAAGAGAGAGAGAGAGAAAATTGTGAATTGATTAATTTTCATATATTATACACAATGATATAAGAAGATACCGAGTTGAATATATCAATTACATACCGCAATGAGAAACCGATCGGTCTACCAAAATAATTATTGAAAGGGAAATAATTAATTATCTTTATGAATAGGTATGAAACCATCAATTAACTTTGATTTGTCGATTCGCGTACTATGACAAATCGAATTGTTCGGAGTAAGCTTTCAGAGCGTATTGAACGAGTCGATTATTTTCGTATAAAATGCTTTTTCATTTCGCATCTTTTTTTCTATCATCGTATTGACGACGTGTAAAAGCCGTTTAAGTTTCTACTAGATACGATGTCTCGAGACTATAAGACGAAATATTTCATATAGAAATGATCATAGATTTGGATAGAAAGCAATAAAGATCGATATGCGATCTAATGAGAGTGGAAGCTGTTTGAGCGGTATTCGAAATGGCATTGTTAAGGATAAGCCGATCTTCTCGATATTCAATTTATACGACGCAACGTATATGATCGATGCGTACACTGCCGATCCAATTCCCATCGAATCTGCATACGGCAATATTCCTGGGCCTCGATATTCATCGATTAGACGAACGATCTATAAGAGCTTGCTTTTCTACCTTCGGTCAAAATTTCCCTAAACTATAATATCGTAATTTTCTCGGGAAACATTATTATTTAATCCGTTATCCGTTTATACAGATCCGTAGGCGTATAACGAGAACTTTTCCATCGACGTTCAAATTCGTTTTCTGATTGGAGGGGTGGAGTTAAAGAAGAAGGAGAATAAAAAATAAAAATAAATAAAAACGGGCGACGTCTATATACCGATATTCGATTAATTTTACTTTTCAGAAAATACGTGAGAGTAGGGGATGGGCGTGTTATGGAGAAAGTTATCAAAAGTAAGTTGGAGTGTTTATCGGAATTATTGACGTTTCGATAATCGAAGCCGACTAAACGAAAAGGGCAATCGTTCGAGTTTATTTGCGACGGCAACAGATTTGATCGAAATAAGAGGAAATTAGAGAAAAGAATAGAAAAAACAAGGAAAAAGAAAAGAAATGATCGAAAGAATTAATTTGCAAACGAATGGCTCCGTTCGATTCGAAACGCGAACCGTATACATCGTTGTAGAAAGTTAATCGCTCGGAAAGATCAAAGATACTTGCAGGTGCTTTCGAGTCGAAAACACGGTTACGGATATCACGCGACAATTACGTCACGCCGCGGGATACTGTAATCGCATTTCACGGAGTTTCGAATTTGCCTCATTTTGATGGCAGCAATCCGTGCCTAAAAGCTTAACGACATTTTGCTGTCGCGATATCCTTTTCCAAAAATGGCGGAAACTCGTTTAATCAGCAAGTAGTAGAGAAAAAAGGATGAAAAGGAGATGAGGAAGGAAGAAGAGAAAGAAAAAGCAAAAAGAAAAGGAGTTGCGTCTCGTCTTCGCAGACGGGGCAAGAGGGGAAGAAGGGCTTTCTCGTTGAGTGCCGTCGACGTCCTTCTGGAAGGTAGGGAAGATGGAGGTCGATATTCGAGTGGTGGAAGACTAAGAAAAAGACAGACAGATAGGCAGTGGGAGAGAGAGTGAGAAGTAAAGAAAGAAGAGGAGAGAAGAAGGACGCTGAGGAGGAGGAAATAATCTTTTAAGACGGTCGTAGAAGTTGCTGCAGTTATAAACAGAAATTTAGATCCAGTTGCCAAAGTAAACAGTAGTGGCCGGTACTTCGACGTTCCATCTTACTCTTATTCTTAACTCCACCCTCGGAGCTTCTATCGAGGCTCTCCTCGAAACTAGAAGAAGTCGTTTGATCTTCCAACCCCTTCGCTACCGAAAGTCATTTACCTTCGCTAATGTCCGACCGAACGTGAAACTTTTCACTTAGTTCTGTTCACCGATAAAAAGTTGGCTGATCTAATAACCGACGACACCACTGACTTCACTCCTTCTTTTTTCCTTTCTTAAAGTCTTATCGTGGTCCCGAATCACTTTTTACAACGTTTATCACTTTTTTTCGATTTCGTGGTAAAATAAAGGAAAAAATAAAGGAATAAGTAAGAAACGAGCATATTTTATCATATTTCTTTTCTTACCGCCTGTTACGCGACAGGTGAGATAGGGAGTGTCACCCTCTTCGTACGGCCCCGCCGTCCCGTTCAAAATACGACCCCAACGATCCAAAATGGTTGGCTGTTCTGGTGGAACTGTAAAAATAAATCAACAAGATTTACGATTAGAATCCTTGCAGATTAGTTGAGAAAATTTGTTAATAAACGTTCGCGCGTTGGGTCAAACAAAATTATTGAAACTCGACGATAACCATTTCTATTTTTTTACGAGTACCATAAGCTTTTATTCGATGTGGGAAAAGAAATTTAAATATCAATATGCATGACCTGAAGCATTCATCGCATCCATACACACATACATACATATATATATATATATATATACGAGCCCTAGCAATTTCTGATTTTTCTGTTAGCGCGAAAATCAAAGCAAATCGAGATAAGTATTTCGGTGTTTTCTTCGAGCCAATTCCAATTTACTGTGCTTCGTGTAGCTAGTATCGGTCAGATAAAGGTACGATCGTTTCCGGATTAAACGTAGCGATATTTTTTTTCGAAATATCCGCTCTCGCGAAATCGGAACGAAGTCGGATAAGCCGGCCGAGATATTTCTCTTGCTTTTTCGTTATTTTGGAAGTTAGTTGCATACGTCGAACGTATAGGATGCTTTATCAACGAAGTTATAGCGCGGTATATCCACTTTCCTCTGGTTCCTCTTCCTCCTCTGCGATTCTCTGACTTTACCTTTTTCTTTCTCTTTCTTTCTCTCTACGTTTTTTAATGTGTTATGCACTTGAAATCGTTTCTGCCATACAGAAACTTCCGCGCGAACATATATAACAAGCTGTTGGATAATCCTGACGAAAATATTTCCCCGTTTCTGTTCGTAAAAGACAAAGTTTCGTTGCGAATGGCTCGTGGAACGTACAAATCGTTGTTAAAAATATGCGAATAACTTATGTAAGTATATAATATTTATACCCGAAAATAGTTAGCTTTTTAAATAATCGGATCCAAAATTTAAACCCAGATCTTTTGTTTTCTGGGAGATTGCTTTGAACCACTAAACAGCTATTCAAATATTTAGCAAATTTTTCTTATAAATAATTTATATTTTATTAGAAATGAAGGTTCTCTTCTTCATATATTTGTTGCACTATATTATATAAATACAAACAGTTTGATTGTTCAAGAAATAGAAAAAAGGTGCCCATTTGTTACGTGTGCAGTATTTACTTTTATGTTGGATGAAATAACGATGATAATTGGTTTCAAAAAAATTACTGAACATTGCCATTTTGTAGAGTAAAGTTTAGTTGATACGTTCGAATCTCATTTACAAGTGTTGGAATCCCAGAAAAAGTTGTTACTGAGCAAAACGAGTAGATAAAAAAATAGTAAAAGAAAGAAAGAAAGTAAGGAAGGAAGGAAGGAAGGAAGGAAGAGGAATGAAAGTGGTATAGTTCACATACTGCGTTTTATCGTCGATAATCACTGTAACGTCGTCCGGTTCAGCAAGCCGCTGGGAAATAATATCTATCGATCCGTGATATCGTTCGTAGACCTTCGGGGATTTAACTCGGAACGAGTTCTCTATTTTTGAGAATTTATTTTTGAACGATCGTAAAATCGATGAAAGAACAAATGTTCAAATATAACCAAAAAGAAAAAGTTAATATAAGAAATAGACAAAAAATTTGATTAATCCTTTATGGATCAGTGTTACTTTCAGGTAACATGTTAATTTACCTGATCTGAATACTATCTCTGAGACAACTGATACCAGTTTTCATGGCGATTGCTAGTAGTATCAACCTGAAATAACAAAATAAATGTTATGCAAGCTGTCTGCAGTAGAAGCAAGCGAAACCATTTTTTCCAATTGATGTTATTTGTGCTTCTGTCTGTGTTTACTAAATAAAAAATTAAGTATATAATAGTTCTGAGTTTAAATATCAATAAAAACTTATTTGTTTGTATTTCAAATATCACTTTGTTACTTTTCTTTTATGGTAAAACAAGTTGAGGAATTTGTCAGCGAACAATTCTTGACCATGTTTATCAGTTTTATTGTGGAAGAGATATAAAGATACCAAAAGGATAGATTTTCACGGAAAAAATAGATGATATTTATTTAGTTTACATCGGTCGTGCATCTGTTGACAAAATTTATCGCTTTCTGTAAGCTCCAGGAATCAATATAATTTAATGAAATTTAAAACTGACATTGCATTTTGTTTATGTGAGGAGTATAAAGGAATCTATAAGAACAGAGAACGTCCTGTTTTTACCCATGTAGAACAATTATATAAAAATATAAAAACAAACAAGATGAAGTAGCACATTGGCCAATTTGTTCGGACAACAAGAATGCTACAAAATTCCCGGGTGTAAAGGAATTCTGAAAATAAAATGTTCAAAATGCAATGTACATTAATGTTTAACGCCAGGTTCAAACTATTTCGTAGACTTTCACGTTTAAGTTTTTATACGCAGAAGTGGAAACCTTATGAGCCATTATGACCTGAAAGTAACACAGTGAATTTATTGTAGTAAGATTGTTAAAACCAAAAAATTTTGTTTTTCATATGCATATATATGTTTGTAATTGTGGATTTTCACTTCTAAAAATGTTTTTTTATTTATAACAAAAATTTGGACCATAAAGGATTAAGCGGATCCAACAAGTGCAGCTAAAACGGTAATGTTCGTAGATGGTAGTCGGTGCTCGTTCACGTATTGCCAACGTCGAAGTTCGATATACCTACAAACGAGCAGGATTTCCGAAAACTCTCGAAATGATCGAAAATCGACGCTGAATGGAGGATGATGTCGTTACCAGAGTATGATTCGCGGTATTTCCGACGAAAGCACTTAATCAAGCGCTCCACGTTTCGGCAAATTCAATTTCGAACATCCATCGTAACGGACCGATATTCCTACCCCTTTCGTTTCCTCATCCATCTGTCTAACTCCCTCTCTATCCCCTTATCTATTTTCCCTCTTATTCTCGTTTGCTTTTCCTCCATTATTATGCTTTCTATTCTATACACCAGACATCTTCTCTATTTTATCCCCGTGCGTAATATGTACCTATGCCTTTTTTTCAACGACTCGTCGAGTGTGAACGCGATAAGATTTTTTTTAAGTTCATTCTCTTTTTCATAATACTCACTCACATTCATTGGTATTCAAATAGGTAAATAGGTAGGTAGGCAGGCAGGTAGATAGGTACTTGTAAACAATTCACAACAATTTATAGTAGCTTTTCATTTTATAATCGGGCACATCGTTGAAAAAATAAAACGTTCCTTCTTGTGCTCTTGCTTTTTCGTATTGATTATTTTTTTTTTTTTTTTATTATTTTTCACTCGATATCTCTTAATTATTTTTAATGCCATTTTTTTCCTTCCTTTATTTTTCTTTTTTTTTCTCTCTTTTGAATAATCACGCTTCGCAGATATGATGACGATGACGAAGACGTCAATGTTAAATATCGTATAGCGTTCAGGTCGGAATTTAAAGGGAATGGGTGAACGGACCGAACAATCTGAAAAGAACGAACAATGACGCTCAATAGTATTTAATTTCAGAATATTAAAAAAAATATGAATTCTAGACGTTTTTCTCATTCTTCTCGCTGCATATTGAGAATTTTTGATATATAGAATCAATATATATGATCGTTGAATAAAATAGGAAAAAGTGTCTCTTGTTTATCTCGAGATATTGAAGAATCCGATGATGTAATAAAAGCTCAGTTTTTTGTTGTATTTTACCGATGTAATCTCCTTGTCGCGTTCATAGAACTTATCGAAAATGCAAATCTCACGCAGCATTCTTGGTGCTTTCGTTTGTAATTCAACGGAATAAAATCTAAGAGCATTTCAAGTAAAGCGAGTGACTTTTGCAAGTTGTAGTTACTCGACGTATCGACGGATATCGCTCGGAAAGAGAATAAAAGCGAATTACTCCTTGAAGTCATTCATGAAATCGCTAAGTGGATTCCGATCTGACTGGAAGTGCCTTGAACGTGATTCTTAGATATTTGTCTCGGATAAAAAAAAAAACTTTCTTGTGTTCTTTGGTGCTTTCTTTTTGAATAATTTGAATACTAAATAATTTACAAACGTATTTTAAATTTGCAAGAAATTTCGATATACTTCAGAATAAATTAGATCGGATTATTACATTTTATGAACTGAGATAATTTAATTAAATTGCTAAATAAAATTTATGGTAAAAAATATTTTAAAATATATATAAAATAAAATATAATCGATACGTTTTTTTCTTACCATCGATATCGATTCAAAATCGATAGCAAACTTTTAACAAAATTTCATCTTTCTTAGAGAAGAAGTTTCAAATTGTTTGACTTTACGTAGAAGAAGTATTATGGAGAAGTTGAATGTGTTTTTTCTTTCTTATCTTTCATTGGATTGCTGAGTTAAAGAGAATTATGTAGGAGGTCAATCGATATGCGTATAGGTATGTCATATCGAAGGAAAATCCATCGACGAATACAATCCTTTGTCATGAAAGTTCGCAACGTCGTTCGGTCCTCCTATTTCCATCATCTCTTTCTTTCTCTACTTATTCTTTAGTGTTCGGCGAGATAACGGTTTCTGCTAGCAAAAAGAAAGCATATATACGTCCGATGCATGTATATCAAAAAAGAGAAAGAAATGTATTCACCGTTGCGTTGCGTGGGTATACGGATTTTCCGCGTACGTCGACCGATATCGCTCGATACCTTCATAAAAATTGATATGGATCCAATAGAAACAATGTTGGGAGAGGATGGCTCGAAAAGGGGACGAGAGAGTTAGGGGTTTGTGACGTTGGAACCATGAAGGGAAGAAAAATCACGGGAAGCCGTATTGGGAATTATTCTGTCGTCTCTTGTCAAAATGTATTCGCGTGTAGGCTCGTACCGAATTTTTTTTTTCAAATCGCTTTAGGCAAATGCAGAGAGAGGAAGAAAAAAGGGAGTGAGAGAGAGAGAGAGAGAGAGAGAGAGAGAGAGATAGAAAGAGAGACCATAATCTTTAGAAATATGCTCGAACACTTCCTTTATCGATCATACGTATATAGATGCATATATACGCATATAGATATTAATACTATTTCCA